GATACACATAACGGGAATAACAGACGCGAAATCTACACAGTCTTGAGTTAAGTTCTGGCCAGTAGACACGCCTCTGCTGTCATACTAGCATGTAGTGACACCTAGAGCTTCCACATACTAAAGCAGGTATCGACCACAAGTTAGTGTCCTGTTGATGCACGATGATGGTTGGATAGTAGTGATTATGTACGTGAACTGCAACACTAGAAATACTACAACAAGCAAACACTAAGGGATTTGATACTAATTAGTTTAATATAATATGTTATATAATTTAAAAAATCGATTGTGCCGGAATGTCCCTTTGTTTTCGATGCGCATTTTATTGCTGTTGTCTTTATTGTTAACATTAGTATTGTTCTTAGTGTCACTAATAGCATGATTATGATTTTCTACACTAATCTTACCATTATGCCTTGATGTTAGGTGGAGGCTGGGGTTTACCACGGGTACGAGCACGACTGGATTATCATCAGTCACTCGGCAAAAATGCTTCGGGAAATGAGGCGAAATACCGCCAGTATATCGAACCAAATGGCATTTATTCGGAAGGCTTGTTCGCAACCTTATAATGTAACGGTAGGTTGGGAATACGGCCGTCTCACCACAAGGCATTATTTCTGCATCACGTTATAGATAACTCCATTATATCTTGCGTATACCGGAGGCATGCCAGAAGAGGTATTTGTACTCGGCAATCAGGTGTCACCTGGTTGAGAACAAGGGATTGTGAATGCGGGGAAATGGAACACTGACCATTTTTTTCATTTTTTTCTTCATGAAAGAGCATCTTCAACACGATGACGACGGAACGAGAACTACTAACGCAAGCCAGTGCGCTGGCAGACATATGGAACGTCCTGTGCGCTTTATGCGGCAGTGGAACCATCGCACGAGATAATGTCATTACGTCTGTCGCACATGACACGGGAGGGCTATCACAATGCGAGCAGGTACACGTTACTGATAGAGATGTGTGCAACATAGTGTGTGCAGTGCAGTGCAGCATGTGTGCAGCATAGCAACTTATAGCATAGAAGATATAGTGTAGCAACTTATAATGCATGGCTTTTCACAAACCCGGGTATATTAAGGAGAACAGTTAGGAGATCAGAGAATGCGTGGTGGTGTTGTCTCATTTTATCTTATATCCGTTCTGCAAGATGTCTCTGTCTGGTGCGAGTCAATCGTGGTTGAAGGTAATGCGTTTAAGTCTATCGAATAATTTTAATAGGTAATATGGCTTTATGAATAGCCACAGTGACCAATTAATTGTTCTCGCCATCGTGATACGATTAAAATGAGTTTTAAGTAGTTTATCTTAAGGATCTGTCAAACAGGTTCTAATATATTTTTTAGGATATCATCAAGGCCGTACGCAGGAAATTTTCTGTAGGGGGGCAAAGGTACTTCCCATGCCCCCTGTGCTCTAACGTTTCGCAATTTCACATTTCTTTATTTAAAGTGTAATATTTCTTTGATGATTTAAGATAACCTTTTGTCACATTTCTATTTTATTTCTAAAAGTGTACAGTATTTTTCCCATTAAAAGGCATACTCTGAAAATCTCTAGGGGGGCAACTGCCCCTGCTGCCCCCCTGCTGCGTACGGCCCTGGATATCATGTGTCGGCTGCTCTCTATAGCTGCGATCGGGGACCAGCCGTTTACGATATACTAGGCACTGGCGTTTCTACGACTCAGTTGAAACTTGGACAATGGTCAGCGAGTGATGGTCTGATACTCCACAGTAAATTGTTCCACAGGACGCATGGTGGCTTCAACGGCCGGTTGTTCAAAGTAGGAATGCTTCGCGAACAGGTGACGCATGCATCTACAAATAAGGGATATTAAGACTACAAAGAGTAAAGTTGGGGATGGTGCTGTTTGCCAAGAATTCGTTATCTCTAGATCATTGCGTAACATAGAGATCATAAGCCAACACAATGAAGTCCCGTGATTCGCGTATCTAGTACGCTCGCCACCAATCGCAAAGTGAAATGCAAAGATTAAACATGCAATAAAGGTCTCACGTCATATTATAATTGCGAGAAAATAATATATCTACGTTTAGGTAAGACTATGGACACCGTGAGACCACAAGATCGTGTACAATCAGTTCGGGTGTACACAATGTTCGCGGTGCGCGTCTGGTGAGCGGGATTCTGTGTCACGTGACTCGTCTCAGCTCGCGGGATATGTAATGGATATGAGTTTGATTGAATTTGATGAGCAGTTATGTTGCAATGCCCTTTACAGTGTTACCCGTCCGTAACCCTAACAGCATCCTTAATAAACTGTTTATTATTTATATTATTATCATTTATATTGTTATAATTATTATTATTATTATCACTATTGTTAATATAGATGTATAGCTTATTGTATGTATTATTGTATTCATTTTTTAGTATTGGTAACGATACCATATCACTTTCTAGACGACTATAGACTTTACCTTGAATACATCGTCGAGCAGCGTGCCTGCAACGATGCCCGGCTTCACGTGCGCATGCGTGGCGAGTTACCGCAGCGACTTGACCGGCTGCTCGTGCGGATCAACGATTGTCAACACGCTGACGAGACTTCCGGTGTACGTCGCCGTTATTATGACAACGAACACCGACCAGGCGCCGAGAATGGCGGGTCCCGACGTCGCGCCGGGCACCTTCGTTATGGCTGTCGTGAAATAATGAGGGGAAATAGGTTTGGGCATTTCTAGTAGCTCTCTATTCTCCCCGACAAAGCTCCATATTACTAGTATTTCCACCTGCAACTCCCGTTACTGATGGTGCCAATAATACGGGGGCCGCTTTCGCAGAAACATCCTTAACGTAGGAAAAATACATAGAGCTATTATAAAAATAATTAAGCAATTATAATAGAGTAATAAGCACGGCCAAAGTTATAGTTTTTCTTACAACGTATCAGAACAAAATGTCAATAGTAGGGCAAATCACAAGAATTTTAATAATTTTGATAATTCTCCCCTGCAGAACATAATCATTTGCGTCTTTAAATCACACAAAGGACGAGAAGACACTGTTGGCACGTACACATACAAAAATAATAGCCCCCGATGTATATTTATGTGAGTATATGGCATTATGTGCAGGTTTCCTATTAGCTTATACCCTCCTTAGTATATACCTTGCTGAAATATGGTTCCGCAAATGAACCAGAGCGAATCACGCAGCGTGATGAATCCCGTCAGATGTCGCTCGCGTCGACGCTCGGTTAGATATCGGGAATAGTAGGCGTCGTTGTACCTAGGGTCCCTAGTTGGGAGTGTCTATATTCAGGCCGGTACGGGAGATTACGGTACTCATATATTTGCTAATATATTGACTAATCGCGCGTCAATAAACTCAATATTCACAGAGAGTATAGCTAAGACATGTGTCTATAGGTATCTAGAATATATTATGCAAATGATCTCCCGTACCGGCTTGAATTCATATTACTCTCTGTGAATATTGGATGTTTATTGACGCACGATTAGTCAATATAGCAAACTATATGCGCGCGGAAGTGAATTACAGATGATTAATCTTAAAATTTCTAGATACCTATAGACACATGTCTTAGCCTATACTCTGACGCACGATTAGTCAATATATTAGCAAATATATGCGTACCGTAATCTCCCGTACCGGCCTGAATATAGACACTCCCGAGACGTCAACTTCAGCGTTCCGCTGCTTACGAAATATTACACAGTCGTCGCCAAACGTCCGGAAACGACGACGAACCGATTCGCTTTCCTCACACCCGTGGCAGTCGGCGTCGGCGCCGTGATGGCAGCAATGGCCGTTGGGGTTGCTGCATTCGTATTCGTCATCACGCGGTACAACTAGGGTGGGAGTGTCTATATTCAGGCCGGTACGGGAGATTACGGTACGCATATATTTGCTAATATATTGACTAATCGTTATATATATTGACTAACGCTGAAGTTGACGTCTCGACTGCTCGCGAGATCGAATATGTCGCTCAATTCGCTGAACTCAACCTCCGATCGCCGCACCAGATCTCGCAGTGCGGCCAGGCTGTCGATTTCATATCCGTATTCTGGATCGTTGGCCATTTTGATGACGTAACTTTTATAATTAAATAAATAGTCATCATTATCTTTATCTCTACGTTTGACCTGGCGCGCGTGAAACACTGGATAACAATTTTGAAGACATTTCAATTACAATGAGTGAACTACGTTAAATTAATTAGTAGCTACGATACCATCAGGCAATAAAAAAAATCAAGTTGCAGCTATTTACTTTTATCGGCTGTTAATTTTAGTTTGTTACTATTTAAAATGATAAGAGACTTGCGATGTTGTTGAGCGACCTAAAATAAACAGAACAGCAAGCACGATACAAGTCAGATCGATATCTATCTATATATGTATATATATATATATATATATATATATTCCTACAGCGTGTTATATGATTGCTTTTTTTCGCTTTTTTGCTTATTTTTGATTTGTTTGCAATGTTCCTCAATCTCGCCTTGAGTTTCGCATCATCAACCCTTTCTAAATCTCGGACAGCTCCTCCCTCGTCCTTACTGATCATGTGAATCCGCGGCTTCGGACCACTGATCTCTATAGGTGTCGTACAACAGTAAGCTTCCGCAATTGTTGCACTATTTCGTCTCTAGAAAATGCCTTTTTTGGCTTTTTTTCCGCCGAAATTCGGCACTAGTGTGCAATAATTTGCATTATGCACGCAAGTTAGATGCCTCGTGGACGTGTTGGTCTTGTTGTGTATTCGTGACATTCCGTCAGGTGGCGTAGTCACAGCGACCGGTTGGTCATTTTTGTGTTTGAAATGTAGTCAGACAACTTTGTAGAAATTCGCGTCATAGAGCTGGCAAAAGCTTTGAGTATGAATCTGTAGTTATTTAACATGAATAAAGTGTATGTTGTGTAAGTGAAGTAACAGTGTGAGTATTTTTAATTAATATCTGTTCGATGCTTATTCAGGCCTGCTGCCTATGGACGCCATCTACTGTTGTTCACCGCCTATAATAAAATCTGGATATTCATTGGCTACGTGTCAGAGACGCTACACGTGCGCCATCTTTCCACTCGCAAAACCGCATCCGATCTAGCTGCGAGCGTCGTCTCTACCGTCTCGAGAAATACATTTCAAATTTATTTGTTAGAGAATCAGAATGCCATCCTGTGCAGCCATAAACTGCACTAACAGGCAGTTTAAGGGATGTGGAAGGACATTTCATTTGTAAGTTTGAATTAAAATTGGCAAATTTATGATAAAAACAGCATTATTATAGGACCAACTTGTTTTGTTGACCGGACGCTCGTGCCTTCCACTGCCAGCCACAGGCACTTGGACCGTTTCAATAATAAAATGATGGTTAATAAATACAACTTGTCAGTACTACTACTACTTGTACTAGCCCTACCAGTAGGCCTACCAGTACCAGCAATAGTCTTAATGTTTGATATAACTTCACTTCAACACCGTCCAATACACCGCTGCAACACATAGCCCGCACGCCATTGTGCATGCACAGATACACAGTTGGTTAGAGTAGATACACATGCAGTAGTACTCTAACCTACTGTGTATCTGTGCATGCACAATGGCGTGCGGGCTATGTGTTGCAGCGGTGTATTGGACGGTGTTGAAGTGAAGTTATATCAAACATTAAGACTATTGCTGGTACTGGTAGGCCTACTGGTAGGGCTAGTACTAGTAGTAGTAGTACTGACAAGTTGTATTTATTAACCATCATTTTATTATTGAAACGGTCCAAGTGCCTGTGCTGCCAGCGAAGGCGTAGCCTAGACTAAGAGCTCTAGCGTAGCTAAACCGACCAGGCTCTCCGAATATTACACGGCGGAGGAGCCTGACACCCTTTCATACGAAATGCCTGGTAGCTTGAAAAAAAACTCTGAATTTCGTAAATTTTTGTAAATAAAACAATGTATTACCAGAATTGACCTTACCTGTTACATGTTGCAACTATCGCTACACTTCTTAATTACTATTTACCTTGAAATACACGTTAAAATAAGAGAATTTCGAAACAGCTATACTATTTGAACATTGCAAAATGCCATTCTGAATGTTCTTATGTCTCTTCTTGTACGCGAAAATTCACGAACTTTCGCTACATGGTATGGGATATCTATGGGAAAATGGTGGCGTTTTTTGAGTTTTATGTTATCAATTTATAAACAATTACTCGCTGACACGTAAGTACATGCTCAGTGATAGCGCACATAGAATAAATCGAGGCGTGGAAATACAGAGAAGCTGTAAGAATCATAAAAAGTGAGATAATTTAACGTTAAATAGCAGCGCACGTACTGCCGAGCATATTTCTAATGCGTCGGTTTGTGACCCTCTCGCCACGTAGTGTTATTAGCGAGATGGGAACTTGTGGCTATTGCGTAGCTAGCACTAGTACTATATCTCGCGTTCATTAACTGCCGCAGGGCTATAGAACATTTTCAGCTAGATTTCGTAACTGCAACCTGTTGCCACCTGTCCCCACGAAAAATGGATCACAAAACGCAAAATGATCTGGGCTTTTTAACACTTATTTATCTACATGGACATCTCCCCTATCTTTTTGAATACTTTCCACAACTTTACACCATGTATTTATCCTTTTATTCCTAAAAGTGCCAGCTCTACTTGCAAATTCCGTTTGAAATGATGTGTGTACAAGCGTGACGTCACACGAAATGTAGCTGCATCATAGTGGATATGTAAGCAAAACACATGGCAGCTACACTGTGGCAGCTATGATGCAGCTACATTTCGGGTGACGTCACGTGTGTACACACATCATTTAAAACGGAATTTGCAAGTAGAGCTGGCACTTTTAGGAATAAATGGATAAATACATGGTGTAAAGTTGTGGAAAGTGTTCAAAAAGATAGGTGAGATTTCCATCATCTTGCAGCCAGATCATTTTGCGTTTTGCGATTCATTTTTCGTGAGGACACGTGGTAACAGGTTGCAGTTACGAAATTTAGCTGAAAATGTTCTATAGCCCTGCGGCAGTTAATGAACGCGGGCTATAGTACTAGAGCTATAGCGTAGCTTACTTAGTAGTTAGTAGTACTTAGTTGAATGTCACGTTGAACCACCTGTATACTTGTATATTTCTACAACTTACTGTCTTCTGTATACTTCTACACCTGTATTATTGAATATTGTATAATGTAACTACAGTATTTGTAGTTGAATGAATGCTATGTCTATGCATTTTAAATGTTTAATAGTTTGGAACGTTAATTAAGAAATTGACCATTTCTGATTTCATAACGATAGAGCAGTACACTGTACAGGCTACAGCCTACAGGTGTATTGTAATTTTGTTATGTTTTGTGTGGCGAACCAGCCTGTGTTCTCTGTGTCACTTGTGGACATAGCCCCTGCGCCGTGCAGGGCATGTTGTGTGTGTTAGCAAAGGCCTGTACCTTAGATCGCTAGGTACTTGTATAGCCCGACAAGGCTGTGTGACTGATTGTCTATCTTCTAACCCTAGCAAGACCGTTTCGGTGCAAATCCACTTTAAGCACCTTGTCCTTAGGTATCACGAGGTGATGCACAGATTTCTGTTTATCATCAACTGATGCACACAGACTTTCTGTATATCAAGGAATGATGCGAAAACCCTAACCCTAACCCTAACTCGAACACACTTCGTGATACCTAAGATTATACTTTATGACTTAGGGTTAGGGTTAGGGTTTTTGCATCATTCCTTGATATACGGAAAGTCTGTGCATCAGTTACACAGAAATCTGTACATCACTTCGTGATACCTAAGGTGCCTAAAGTGGATTTGCGCCATGATGGAACAGCTGGTATAACTAGTATGATTGTCGTGCGTGAGTTTCTCGGTTTCACGCATACAAAGTTAGTATTGCGGAATATGTGTGTCACACCTCAACTAAAAGCGAAATGATAAATTTAAAAAATGGAAACGTTACATTTTGTTTGTTTCAGGTTCCCTTTTGGACGCCCTGCCTTGCTCAGAACATGGCTTGTAAACGTGAAGAGAGACGAGTGGTTTCCATCGAAGAAGGCAGTGTTGTGTTCAGATCATTTTACAGGACACAGCTTTAACCACAGTGGTCAGACAACCCGGCTGGCAGAAGATGCTGTACCAATACTCTTTGACTTTCCAGACCATCTCAAGAACGTAAGAGTAAAATATCTACAAGAGGGTTTTGTTGTTGTTTTTGTTGTTAGTGTGTGTGTGTGTGTGGGGAGGTGATGTTCTAGTGTGTTAGTAATGTGTAATGTGTGTGCTTAAGCTAGCAGCACACTTCACCATTTTCGTACAGGCAATTTTTGTGGTCGGCAATTTTTGTGGCCGTTGCCGCGTCACAGCACACTTCACCACAAGTTGCCACCACAAGCAATTTTCGTGGTGAGAAATCAAACCGGTTTGATTCTCGGCAACTCGTGGTCACCACTAAATTTCCGTGGTGAGTGGTCGTTGCCGGCCCCCGCACACTTGGCCATTTTTGTGGCAACCACAAAAATTGCCTGTACAAGCAACGAAAATGGTGAAGTGTGCTGCCCGCTTTAGTAATGTACTAGTCCTTTGTTTGCTAGAGGATGAAAGCAAGAAAACGTTCTCAGTTCCTTAAATAATTTTCCATGGCAGCTCTGCTTTTTTGTATTGGATTCTGTATTGGGGTGGGGGTAATAAGATTTAACTAAATCTGCATTTTACATGTTATTATTTTATCTATTGTTTATCAACTGCATGTTTCTCTAGCTATGTATTTCACTGTGTCAAAATGCAGTCTCTCTTTTTGTATATTTCAATCACAAGTTAAATATTATCACAATTATAAATTATAGAAAGTTAAGGTGTTCAGCTGAAATCACAATATTGTACCAGGAATTTGAATTATTTGAATTTGATATTTGAAGGTTCAACGTCCAAGGAAAGCTCCACGTGAGAGGTGTAGCAAGCAGGTGGAGACAAGCAACAACTCTGACCCTGGAGAACTGAGTCCCAAGTCTTCCCGTGAGTTGGTTGAGAAAGATCATTCCTACTCGATCGAGGAGAGTCCGATAGCACTAAAAAGAAGACTTTACGCTGCAGGGGATCAGATCAATAGCCTAAAAACACAACTCAAGACTACACAGCAGAAATCTCGCCGCCTTAAAAAGAAGTTATCATCGCTCCAAGAGGTTGTGAAGTCGCTGGACGAAAAACAGCTGATCTTGACTAATGGTGCAGAAATGCTACAAAAGACGTATACTGATGTTCCATCAGCGATTATGACAAGAATTCCTTCATCCAAGAAGAACGGAACGCTTAGCCGGGATAGTTACCCCCCAGTATTGCGAGCGTTTGCAGTAACACTTCCGTTTTACAGTGCAAAAGCATAAAAGGACGTACCCAAAACCTTTGATTTTGCTCTTCCTCATCCAACAACCATCAGAAAGGGGTACAGTGGAGTCAATGGCGAACCAGGCTTCACCCAGGAGGCAAGCTGAAGGCCGATGCAGCGAAGGACACGAACAGTCAAGTCGTATGCGCCCTCATGTTGGACGAGATGGCTATCAGGAAGCATGTTGAATGGGACGGCTAAAAATCCCACGGTTACGTCGACGTCGGTGTTGGGATAGAAGATGATACCACACCAGTCGCACAGGATGCTCTAGTATTCATGGTTGTAGCCCTGAATAGCAACTGGACAAATTTCTGTTGCGTACTTTCTTATCAATGGAATGACAGGGAAGGAGCGGGCCAACCTGATTCAGCAATGCTTGATACGTCTTCATGAAGTTGGTGTTCGCTGCGTATCATTAACTTGTGATGGGCCGTCATGTCACCTGACAATGCTAGCAGAACTGGGAGCAAAGATGAACGTGGCAGACCTGAATCCATCGTTTCCTCATCAAGCAAGTTCAGACCACCGTGTCTAATTTCTTCTCGACATCTGCCATATGTTGAAGTTAATTCGCAACACTTTATTGCCTCAGTCTGTTGTTGGTTGAAGCTAGCTTATACCCCCGTCACACCGGACGGCGACCATCCGCGACCGTACGGCGACCAGAAAATGTACAAGGTCGCCGGCAAACGCGAACACAACGCGAGAAAAAGTCCCAACAAATTACAAACTTGAAAAAAAACCTCGCTCTTACCGCGTAAAACCTGTGCGATCATACCGCGTTCTCACGGCGCGCCCGCCACGACCTCTCCGCGCTTATGGCGTTTCTATTGAGATCTATGGGCTTGGCAACGGCGATCACAGGCACAGATAAAGACCGCGCAGGGACAGGAGGGGGAGAGGGGAGGGAAGACACCGGCGTAAAAGCAGAAGAATCCTCACGGCACGATAATTGGGTTCTTACCACGCGTCTCTTACGTGTACTCGATATGCACAGGCGACCCTCACGGCGTTTCAAATACAGATGTCTGCAGCGACCTAAATAAGCTGGTCAGATTTAAACGGAAAATTTCAAGAAACGTATAAGTTGGCGTTGCTGAGTAGCCGAAGAAACAAGGCATACAGAGGCCGAGGCGCGTGGCCGTGCCGAGACAGATCGGCAAGATCGGAATGAGACAGACGAGAACATATATCTCAGAGTTGAAAAAATGTTAAACAATTTCGCAGCATCTTTGGCCAAATAAGGTACTGCGCGTGTACTACGTTTGATTTGGATGATTGTTAACGACGCTGTTGCCGCCGACCTTCGCGCCCCCCACGCGAGTTCTCCATCCGCGTTCATGGTCAGATCGCCACCCACAAAATAATTGCGTTTTGTTTTGAACATGCCAAAACAAAAAAAGCGTGACTCCAGCGATATGGCCGACGGCATGGGCCGACGCACACCACGATGTCTGGCGTTCCACACGCTTAATACCAATCCAGTTTGGCGACTTGGCGCGCTAGCACCTGGCCCATTTTCCATTCGCCGTACCAGCGCATAAGTGACGCCACCCGGGGTGTGACAGGGGGTATTAGCAGCAGGATGAGATTCATGCACCACCCCATAGGTTGCAAGATTTCATGGACGTACATTGACAAACTGCAGCAAACTTCAAAAAGATGAAGGACTTAGACTACTGGCAACAAACTGAAGGAACAGCCCACACACGCCTGGCAGAAACAAACCAAATGAATCGGTGACTCGCGTGCACAATCATCTGAAGCAGCAAGTGTTGCTGATGGCCATTGAAAAATAGCAATAGAGACGCTCCACCTTCCCGTTCCATGGCTCTGAAGATACACGTTGAATTAGCAGATGCATAGACCAACATCTTGAATCATGAATTCTCAGAATCCAACTGGCTCGTAACCTTTAAGTCCTCCATTAGAGATCGAAAAATGAAGTGGGCAGTGGAGACCTTCTCCAGCACGCATACACATACATAACCACTAACACATGCAGACGGACAACCAAATGCATGTCACCGGATGGAAGACGGCCGTTCATTATTCTCACACGGTTAATTCATTCTTCACGCTTGGCATCTGGGTTTTGGGCCTGATAAAACATATTAGATATAATATATCTATATATATATTATATCGTGTCGAAATAAGAAAAAATAATGGTTGAATACGCGCCGGGACAACCCAGCATCAAATCGGGTTGTCCGGTCAACAATTTCGTGGTTGTGCCCGCAAAGAATATATCCCAGAATCTCGCTATTTTCAATCAATAACTAATATGGTCAGTATAAACACCTCAAAAACAGTGGTGTAGCCAGGATTTTTCAACAAGGGTGGGCCAAAAACAGCCAAACAACTGCGCAAAATATTAGATGACTTTAATATTTTAATTGGCTCCTCCGCCTCCCTCTCCAACGCCTATCGGCTCCTCTACCTTCTCTGGCAATCTTTTGTTGAAAAAAATAAGCCATGTGAAAAGGCTACATTTCTTTGTTCATTGTTCTCTGCTCCCAAAGATATGGTAATTTGTTCAGATAGATCTGGATTCAAGGAGGGTTCAACGAGAGAGAATCACGTGAAAACAAGCGGGGTATGGGGTCCTCCTACGACAATTCTCTTTTTAAAACTTTCGGATCAAACATGAATCCCTCACTGCTGTATGTTTGTTTGGGCAAAAGCCACGAAAATACAAATATTCATAAAATACCAAAATGTAGGGTGAAACTTGCTGGTTCTGCTGGTTCATAATCGAGTTCACCTCTCATAAACTCAGACAAACCTGACATATACCAAAGTGTTGAAATAAAAAAATGGTATGCCGTCGCTTTAACAAAATTAATTGACGGGCCATCCAGGCTATAAAGTGCCTCTTGAAACACTGAGGAAAACATAAAATAAAGTGCGTTTTTCGTCAACTTTTTTTCTTGTTGTCCACCGGACAATGTCTCGTCTCACACAACACACAAGGGTTAGCAGTTGTCGCGGCACAAATTCTGGTTGTCTCGGACAACACGGACAACGCTTATTTCGAGCACTGTATATATATACAGTATATCCCGTGTAACTGTGAGTATGGAATCTACCACTACACCCTAATAGAAAGGCAGATATGGTATGAAAGGGAACATTTTGTTGAAAGGTTTTGGGAAATAGAAGCACAATCTAGAAAGCGTATAGTTATAGCTCTATATTACAACAGACATGCTATTACGAATGTGTATATATGTCCAGTATAATGATCTGGTAAACAGTCTAGAAGTAGCAAATTTTTAAGTTGTAAATTTTTTCTTATACTGTTCCGTGTTTTCTATTTCAGTATGAATCCCATACCAACACCGCACTCCCACAAACACACACGCTTACGTACACGCACACGCACACCCATGCGCACACAAAATCGTGCAACGCGCGCTCACATTGCAGACGCACACGTACGCACACAACGTATACACCAGCCTGTGGCGTGTATCCGTAGGGCCTAAATCACGTACCGAGGAGTGGGGGATAGATCGGCGATAGCCGGCGGGCGACAATTAACTTTTGGCTGTGTGCTCGCAAGCAGGCCG